CATGACAGTATCATCTGCACACAGCAGTAGTATCAAGCGTACAGCATCATTAATCACACAGTCACAATTTGTGAATACAAACCTGTGGCACATCTTCTTATACATAAGTCTCTTACATTTAGGAACAAAGATAAAAGCCCACAAATGTTTTCTTTTGCTTTGTCATCCATCGATATAACAAAGAAAGAACTCGGATATTTCATTTTCAGTAAGAGTCCAAGAATCTATACCTTTATACATATTCATAATTACTCATGACACTTTCTGTGTGCTCCATAATTGATCAATATATTCTAAAGTCCAATCTCTGTACACGAACTAAAGCTTCTTGAAAATTTCTAAAAGTACCAAAGAACTGCATAGTACATGCTTTAAGCAGTTCAGTTAAAGGGTGTGAAAATGTAATCAGATGTGGAGTAAGATATTCTAAAAGCAGTTTGTTTTTCTGATAAATGTTCATTTTACATCATGAATAAAGTCCTTCTTGTATTGATACATTATAATTATGATTATGGTTATGCAGCAACCCTGTTGTATATTGTCGGATGCTTTTTAACCTGTCGCCACTGTGGTTTTGTGCAATCTTGTTATTTCCGTCGCAAAAACAGTTTGTTGATTGTCCAGCGACAAGTAATATGACATTTAACAAGACAAAATATTTGTATGTATCCATTTTCTGTCGACTACTGTTCATTTTGAGACATGTGTAGTGTCAATATGATTGTGATAATGTCAATAATGTCAATAGAAGTTGTAAGTATCTGAGGGACATGTGATTTTGCTGCAAGTAATAGGAACGTTATTGAATGACTTTTTGAGTAAAATGAAAAACAAACAAAACATACAAGTCCAGATATGCAAAGAACAATGTTTTATTATGAGATAGTGTAACAACTGGATTAACATGTGTACTGCAATGTGGATGTGTAGATATTCTATTTCCCATGAATGATCATGACGAGAAGATATACATGCACTGTTGGTCCGGTTAATGTAACAGACATATCGATTTCAAGGGTCAAGTTATTTATATGGTAGTACGGCTTATTTATATGGTAGTGAACAATTTTCAAAGACATCTGTAAGAGTACTAGTATTAGTCAATATTTCTTTATGGATCTGGCATTTTATAATTAGGTTTGTTAATTCCACTGGGTTGTAATTTTGGAAGTACTTCTTTATCAATTACTGTGTTAACTTAAACAAGGATAACACTTTGGGATCCCTTGAAGATCCGGGTTAGAATTGGTCTTCAGCAACCCATGCTTGTTAAGGGTAACTAATGGCATGGGGTAGTCAGACTTGCTCACTTGATTGACACATGTCATCGTATCCCGACTGCATAGATTCATGCTCATGTAGTTACTCACTACATTGTCAGGTCCAGAGTTGATTATCTACACACCAACATAAAGATGGAATATTGCTGAATGTGGAGTTAACAAACAACAAAACTATTTGGGGAATAGTGTCAGAGCTCTATATTGAAAATGCATGGCAGCTGCTAAGTATCCAGATTTAATCCAAACATGTATGAACAAAAAAGTAGGTAAACATAAATATTGAGTCGATATGCTCAAGAAAACTACCAAATGCAAAAAGTGTTATGGCCCCAGAAGATTTAATGTATGTTGTTGTGTTATTCATTAATAACAGACATCAGTGATTTAATTAACTGATTGTGGTCAAACAGTCCTGGAGGCTATCTTAAGCACTTGTCATAAACACTTTCATGCAGAAATCCTAACTGTTTGTTATGAAGTCCATGAAACAGTTTGTATTGAATATAAATCACATTAGGTGTGTATATCGGCCAGTCTTGTCAGTTGACCTGGGTCAACATACGCCCTATAGGGGAGAAGCCTGCTGGTAATTTAGTGATAAACGCCGGAATAACAGCTGGACGTAGGTAACTCTTTAACATTGCTGTCAGGGTACGGATCGACACACAGGTAAATACTGCTCATATAAAAACAACAAAGATATTTACATGTAGGAAAATCACTTAGAATATGGCCAGCTTGCAGTAATCTTATAGAGGACAAGTTTTTTACTGATATATTCATGTTATGATGATTTGGCAAGATTACAGAAGATTGTGTATAATTTACAGTTTGCTATGTTTATAATAATCATAAATGTCTTTATTATAAAATGAATGACACTTTGTATAACAAATGTCAGAAAAACGGAAATATTTTTAAATTTGTATTGCAACGACATGGTTGTTGGTTGATTTATCATTTTTGTATGATCTCTGGGGGTTATTTTGATGCACTTCTTTGTATATGAACCATAGGCCTTCATTCAGATACACTGTATGCTGTTTGACAGAAAATTATATACATATTTTTTTACAAGAAGAATATGTTAATTCTATCATATTTGTTAATTGTCTGTTTTGGGCACACTGATAGCTTACATGCATGGAAGTGTTATTGAACATCTTGGACTCTCTTGACAAATGTCCAGCGAGACAACAGTTGGTGACAATGTGCAATCAAGGATATTTTAATACCTCAGTTATCAAAAAAAAGTTTTTGTGTGTGTATATTCAGGTTTCATTAGGTGGTAAGGATTTCCCTCCTCATTTGAAAGCAGTCACCCTTACATGGAAGAGTTTATCAAGATATCAGGGTCTGGCAATGCAAATCAGACCACTAACACACAGTACAGTAACTACCTAGGTATTATTTGTCTTGCCAGGAACTATATGGCAGTGTATCCTATTTACCTGTACATGTTACATGAAAGAAGGACATCAGAGTGTGTGGACTTAGCCTGTACAGCAGAGACAGTACTGTCGATTGAACTTAAGTGCCCAAACTGGTTGTTGATAATGGTAACAGAGACTTAATTCATGAGAACCAGCCACCTGGACTGTTTTAGTGTTGAAGATATGTGTTCTAATAAGGTAAAACCCATCTGTTCACAATATCCCTCTCATAGCCTGTTCAGACTTTCTTCTTTAGTGCCGTTGAGCAAATACTTGTTGGAAGCAGGCGCTATATATATTCATTACCATTATCAGATTGATCAGTGTCTTGAAATGATAGTCCACACTCCACTCTATTTTAGAGTATGATATGCTCACATATGGTGCTCTCAGGATAACTAAATGTCCATATGAATACAAAATGCCATTTAGAAAGTGGTCAAATGTAACACATGTTATATTTTTCCTTATCCTGACTCATGCTCTTTTGCTTGTCTTCTTCTTCTTGCGAACATAGTGGAACACTTGTATCTCCTATTGAAGCTCCCTTCAATAAAGAATAGACGTAAAATCACTCCTACCAAGAGTTATCTCTCCAGCCGTTTAGGCGGGAAACTGTGGCGCCACCGTGCCCACATGCCTCACTCTCTCCTTCTTCGCCCTGTGGGCAGGTTGTGAGAGCACCTGTGTCTCCAATACGGCACTATATCCTTTAATTAATTAGTTATTCTCCTCCATTCTACTTTTATAGAGGTTTAGTTAGTATCCTACAACAATATGGTTGGATATTTAATCTAGCACTGTTTATTCACGGTATTGTCCGTATTTGTTCAGTTGTTTACATTTCATGATAACCTATTTTCGTTGTTGGTTTAGGTTCGCTGCTGCAGACCCGCGTTGATTGTGCCCTAGCTGCACAACAATATGTACTTCCAGCTATAGCTGTAATCTTTATCAGCTTTTAATTGAAATTCAAATTAATATATAATTTTTCTCCGTACTTAGACGTACTATCAACTATCCAGGTGACTTCCAAGTCATGGGTAAACTGGCTGAGTCCCTCATGAGCTGTCTACTGCTGTTAGACGACTAACTACCATCAAGTGACCTGCCGGAGGCGTCCTCGGAGGATGGGCGTGGGATGTTGTACGCCTTACTTCGAAGACGTTGGCTTCTACAATGGACAACCCCTCAACGCAGACGTAGAAGACGCCATCCTCTACGCAGAATGAAGCCTCATCCTGATGGCAGTGAGAGGGCTTCATGATAAGCCACTGCTGATCATCCCAGAGATACAGCACGCAGTCCGAAGGCGACAGATGAGCGATCTCCGGACCATATCGCTATCAACGCAGAAATGGCAGCTCTACAATCATCGCAGACGATGTATAGACGCCATCCTCTACCCAGAGAAGGCTACACACCCCTTAGATGACGACAACTCTACGGGGACGTCTGCGCAGACTACAAGGACTTTCTCTGCTGAGATTGTTCCGTTGACGGTACAGGTACTCTCCGATGATCAACCGATCATCTTCCCAGAGGTTCATCACAAGTAACGACCAGTCAGCTACGGTGACTTCAGCGCAGATCTCCACGGTACCCCAGGTATCTACGATGACAACAGATGAGCGTCCTGTGGGCCACGTCGCTATCAACGCAGAAAGGGCAGCGCTACTACCACAACAGACCTTCAAACCGGGGGGACCTTATGCAGGAGATGAACAGCGTTACGGCCTGGAGTAGAAGTCACAGCCCACAACGAGGTCCCGAGCCTTTTCGCGAAGGTTCCAACGCAGTCGTCGTCTCTGAGGGACCCTCCATCAACGTGACATCTGGCAGCAGGTCTACACTACAGGCCAGCCTTACATCCCCTGCGGCGGACACGGACGATCAGCATTCGCGAAGGCGTTCTCGAAGGAGGAATCGCCATCCCCGGATACAGAATCGGACCCATCTTTGTCCTATAGATCATCGAGGGATTCACCAGGACCTTCGCGAACCCACAGGTCACCCTACAGGCACAGTTCGTCGGGCTATTTACCACGTCGATCTCCTCGCCGATTTCCACGCAGATCCCCACACAGGTCTCCACGCAGGTCTACGCGCAGGTCTCCATGAAGGTCTTCACGCAGGTCGTCAGCGAGCGAGCAACGCCTCCATTACAGTCCAGTTAGACGGGACCTTCGTGATTTGGCTGCCTTCATGGGGTTAGAGACCTCCCCTGTCATCATTGAAGACGAGGGCGTGGCAGCCAGGCGATTTTTACATAGAGTTCTCAACGATGGCAGTCACCGAGTCGGCCATTGCTTCATTTCCTTACAGACACGGTAAGGGTGTCAAGATCGTAGGATATAGATACAAGTTCTTGTATCTCAAGCACTACTCTCTCCGTTTTTACTACGAAGTAGCGGAATCTGTTGGGTTTTCGCACGTCAGCACAAGACATGACATGCAGAGAAAAAATTACAACTACGCCCACTACTGGTCTTCATGAATATACAACCGGACGATCCGGAGAGGTTATAACCCATATCTATATATGGTGAACTCCGTATGAAGGAGGGTTGCAGACGCACCTAATTAGCGGGTCGCAGTACAAGACGCATCTCTATGGGGACGCATCTCTCCTAGAGTGGGAGCACACCTTGTCAACAATGTGTCAGCTGGGATATGGACCATAGCAGAGACGATCTGCACTTCCATATGCTGGAAATGAAAGCAGCAATAAACGCCATACTCCACCGGATCAGCTTTTTTATAAAATGCTCATCTAACGGTACACACAGTCACCTCCACAGTGACGGTCTACATCCACAGAAGGATCAACAAAGTTGGCGAACCTTCTGGACCTCTGCTTTCAGTTGATCAGTATAACAGTCAACCTGACTGTCCACAGCAGAGTATGCCACATTCCAAGAACCAAGAATGTGTTAGCAGATACACTATCCTGTCCAACGCAGCCATTCTCAACAGACTGGATGCTACATTCAGAGATCTTCAAACAGATCATATAAGAGATGGTTGAACCTTTAAGAGACCTCTTCCCCACAAGGGTCAACTGATAACATTCATCTCACCAATACCAGATCCACGGACAGGGGCAACGGACATGCGAAGCATCTCCTGCCTAGGACTAAACACTTACGTGTTTCTCCACCAGCTCTAATACCTAGGGTATTGCAGAAATCAGTCAGGCGAGAGACCCACAACTATTTGGGGCACGCCTTTTGACCAGCGAGAATATGAATTCCTATTCTCATACAAGACCTAGGACTGCCTCTACTGCAACTACCAGAGTGTACGAATCTACTAGTACATCCTCACAGCCCTGCTGTGTTATTGCTGGAATATTGCTAGAAGCAGCATAAAATCAAACTCACTCACTGTCTCACTCACTGTCTCACTCACCCTCTCACACTGCCACCTCCAGCGCCATCGAGTAGGACACCCATCAAGACAAAGAAGATTGATGGTAACATCATGCACATCCCCCTTGGTTCACTGGCAGATGACCCACAGCTTGTGACGGGGGATCCAATTCGGTGCAGCAAGTGTGATGCTGTCCTGTGTCAGACGTCAGTCCTTGTTGACGATGGAGATACACGACAGTGGACGTGGTCAGTATGGAGCAACTTCTTCATTGACACATTTTTCAACAGTCTTCAAAATTGATAAGGGACCATTCATAGGTTGTCGGGGTGAAGATGATTATTATGGAGAAGCATGTGCAATGTGAATCTCCCCCCAGATTTCTGTACAAAGTAAGTGACACCCCAACCCCTACCCCCAACCCCCAGCCATAACTTATGAACAGTCCCTAACAGAGCAATATGTGATGTTATTCTACTTGTTAATGAAGCACTGGGAGTATTGGTTTGAGAGTTAATAAATTATTATCAGTAAGGTTATTTTCCCCAGTCTGGTTGTTTTTAAGGGTCTGATTTACATTGAATATTTTTTCTGACGGAATAATATGCCATGTTTCTACAACATAATTTTCATTTAGAATTACATTAGATATGAGATCACATGGAATTGTGTTCTACCTTTCAGTGAGTACTGCGGTAAAGAGAACAAAAAACTAGAAGTTACAGCAGAGGAGATACCGAAAGAGTTGATGTTTGACTACATGTTGAGTCCAGCAACCGAGAAAGAAGAGAAGGAGAAGGAGGGCAAGGAGGAGGTTGTCCAGAAGGTCACGCCAGGAATTATTGTGTACTGCATGGATATCAGCGGCTCAATGGACTCCAAAGCAGCTGTCCCAGAACTACAAGGTGAGATGCCCACAACTTCCAGATTGAGTTACATCAGGCCTTGTCCATCAGAACTTGCAGATGGAGTTAGATCAGGCCTTGTCCATCAGAACCTGCAGATGGAGATACATCAGGCCTTGTCCATCAGAACTTGCAGATGGAGTTAGATCAGGCATTGTCCATCAGAACTTGACTTGCAGATGGAGTTAGATCAGGCTGTGTCCATCAGAACTGACAGATGGAGTTACATCAGGCTGTGTCCATCAGAACTGACAGATGGAGTTACGTCAGGCTGTGTCCATCAGGACTGACAGATGGAGTTACCTCCAGCCGTGTCCATCAGAACTTACAGATGGAGTTAGACCAGGCCTTTTCCATCAGAACTGACAGATGGAGTTAGATCAGGCCGTGTCCATCAGAACTGACAGATGGAGTTACCTCCAGCCGTGTCCATCAGAACTGACAGATGGAGTTACGTCAGGCTGTGTCCATCAGAACTGACAGATGGAGTTACGTCAGGCTGTGTCCATCAGAACTGACAGATGGAGTTACGTCAGGCTGTGTCCATCAGAACTGACAGAAGGAGTTACCTCCAGCCGTGTCCATCAGAACTGACAGATGGAGTTACGTCAGGCTGTGTCCATCAGAACTGACAGATGGAGTTACCTCCAGCCGTGTCCATCAGAACTTACAGATGGAGTTAGATCAGGCCTTTTCCATCAGAACTGACAGATGGAGTTACGTCCAGCTGTGTCCATCAGAACTGACAGAAGGAGTTACCTCCAGCCGTGTCCATCAGAACTGACAGATGGAGTTACCTCCAGCCGTGTCCATCAGAACTGACAGATGGAGTTACCTCCAGCCGTGTCCATCAGAACTGACAGATGGAGTTACCTCCAGCCGTGTCCATCAGAACTGACAGATGGAGTTACCTCCAGCCGTGTCCATCAGAACTGACAGATGGAGTTACGTCAGGCTGTGTCCATCAGAACTGACAGATGGAGTTACGTCAGGCTGTGTCCATCAGAACTGACAGATGGAGTTACGTCAGGCTGTGTCCATCAGAACTGACAGATGGAGTTACGTCAGGCTGTGTCCATCAGAACTGATGGATGGAGTTATCAGAACTGACAGATGGAGTTACTCTCCAGTCCATCAGAACTTACAGATGTAGTTAGATCAGGCCTTTTCCATCAGAACTGACAGATGGACTTAGATCAGGCCGTGTCCATCAGAACTGACAGATGGAGTTACGTCAGGCTGTGTCCATCAGAACTGACAGATGGAGTTACGTCAGGCTGTGTCCATCAGAACTGACAGATGGAGTTACGTCAGGCTGTGTCCATCAGAACTGACAGATGGAGTTACCTCCAGCCGTGTCCATCAGAACTTACAGATGGAGTTAGATCAGGCCTTTTCCATCAGAACTGACAGATGGAGTTAGATCAGGCCTTTTCCATCAGAACTGACAGATGGAGTTAGATCAGGCCGTGTCCATCAGAACTGACAGATGGAGTTACGTCAGGCTGTGTCCATCAGAACTGACAGATGGAGTTACGTCAGGCTGTGTCCATCAGAACTGACAGATGGAGTTACGTCAGGCTGTGTCCATCAGAACTGACAGATGGAGTTACCTCAGGCCGTGTCCATCAGAACTGACAGATGGAGTTAGATCAGGCCGTGTCCATCAGAACTGACAGATGGAGTTACGTCAGGCTGTGTCCATCAGAACTGACAGATGGAGTTACCTCCAGCCGTGTCCATCAGAACTGACAGATGGAGTTAGATCAGGCTGTGTCCATCAGAACTGACAGATGGAGTTACCTCCAGCCTGTGTCCATCAGATGACTTAGATCAGATGGAACTCCATCAGGCCTTTCCATCAGAATTGACAGATGGAGTTAGATCAGGCGTGTCCATCAGAACTGACAGATGGAGTTACGTCAGGCTGTGTCCATCAGAACTGACAGAAGGAGTTACCTCCAGCCGTGTCCATCAGAACTGATGGAGTTAGATCAGGCCTTACCTGGACACAGCCTGACGTAACTCCATCTGTCAGTTCTGACAGATGGATCTGTCAGATCTGATGGACACGGCTGGAGGTAACTCCATCTGTCAGTTCTGATGATGGAGTAACTCCATCTGTGAGTTCTGATGGACACAGCCTGACAGCTCCATCTGTCAGTTCTGATGGACACGGCCTGATCTAACTCCATCTCCTTCTGTCAGTTCTGATGGACACAGCCTGACGTAACTCCATCTGTCAGTTCTGATGGCCTGACGTCAGTTCTGATGGAAAAGCCTGATCTAACTCCATCTGTCAGTTCTGATGGACACGGACACAACCCATCTGTCAGTTCTGATGGACCTCAACTCCATCTGTGTCCATCAGAACTGACAGATGGAGTTAGATCAGGGACTGTTACCTCCAGCCGTCCATCAGAACTGACAGATGGAGTTAGATCAGGCCGTGTCCATCAGAACTGACAGTTAGAAGGAGTTCAGAACTGACAGAAGGAGTTACGTCCAGCCGTGTCCATCAGATCTTACAGATGGAGTTATGTCGGCCGTGTTCATCAGAACTGACAGATGGAGTAACGTCCAGGCGTGTCCATCAGAGCCCTCTACATATTTTCCTCTGTAGTCTCATCTGTAGTTTCCTCTGTATGTGTTCCTCTGTGCATGTGTTGCTCTCTACGTATGTTTATCTGTATGCATTTGTCTGTATATGTATGTACCTTTTTGGAACTGAGCAGTTACGATACAAGATTTATATTTGTCTAAATATCTGTTTCTGTGTTTCTTTAATAGCGGCATGGAAGCAGGCTCGAAGTGGAGAGGAGCTGGAGGCAAAATCTCGGCTGGAGTGCATCAAGGAGGCCGTGATGAGGTACATTTCATGACAGTGAAACAATAATTTTGGATTTTTGTATAGATATGGTATTTCATCATGGAAAACATAATAACTGACAGATATTTTTTATTTTGTGTCGGATAACATGTGATCTGTTTAAGTTAATGTCTTGCTATCTGTGAGTGAAAATGTCAACTTGAGGCAAATTGATTTTGAACTGAACACAAGACTTAAGAAGCTATGAATTGAAAACACAAAGTAAATACTGAAACATTATTAAAACATGTGTTTGCGTTAACTGAAATTTTGAAAAGATGTGTTTTTGTGCTTTAGGGATTAGAATCCATACAAGGACATTGTTGCCTTTGACTATTTCACAACTAAATATTCAGAACAGCTTAATTATATTTTGTGGCCATTTATCCAGACATCAAACAGACATTTGCATATGCATTTTTTCAGTTTACAAGTATAAGCATTTGGAATAAAGTGACAAACATATTTTTATAATTTACATTTCTTATCTGTTACAGACAAGTAGAGCTGTTGAAACAAGAGCAGCCTGAAAAGCAGGTCATGTTGGTCCTCTTTGACTCACGTATTGAGATTGTAGGCGATGGGACTGGAAGCAGCAAGAAGGTCACTGGAGTTGACATGAATAACTTCGATGCCCTCATCATGGAGGGCCAAAAGCAAGCAAAGAAAAATGAGATCAAACCTCTGCGACTTTCTCACGAGTGAGTGTTGGTCTTCGCAACCATTTTAATACATGTAAATGGAAGTGACCAAATCATAACAAATCTCTGCTAAAAGCAGAGTCAAATGTACAATTGCGGCTATATCACTAGCCTATATTTGTTTCAGCAGCATTACAGTTGTATGATGTTGTTTGTAAACAAATGAAATCTGGAATAGACAGTCCAGTGATTTCTTTGAGAGGCATTTTAGAAGTTGTATAGATGAAGGAAAACCAAGTTCTATGGATAATCAACTTCTTTATTGCAATGAGTGCGACATTTCGGTATAGGTACTAACACCGTTATCAAGCAAGTGATGGCTTAGTACCTACACCAAAACGTCACACCCATTGCAATAAAGAAGATGACTATCCATAGAACTTGGTTTTCCTTCAGTCCAGTGATTGTCTCCATGCAATACAATGACATAGCATGTAATACATGTTATTTTTCCTTATCCTGACTCATGCTTATTGCTTGTCTCCCTTTCCTTCCGAATGCTAGTGGAACACTTGAATCCCCTTTTTGAAGTTCCCTAAAAAAGCGGACGTAAAATCACTTACCAGGAGTCATCTCCCCTCCCCAGGTTCTGGCGGGAAACGGCGCCACCTGTCACCCATGCTCCTCAATCTCCCCTGATTCGCCCGAGTGGGCGGTTGTGAGAGCACCTGGTCCGCTATACGGCATTATATCCTTTTATTATTGAGGCCCTTCTTCTAAATTAGCTGTATAAGGCTTTAGTTAACGTTTACGTACAATATTTTACGGAATTAATTCTCAAATTTCTCTGTTTTATGACGTTTTTACGTGACTGTTCAGATTGTTTACAATTGATGAAATCTTGTTCTGGTTGTAGGTATAGATTGTCTGCTGTTGATCCACATAACCTATGTCCTAATTGCAAGCCCGTATGTTTATCTGACTCTCGTTGTCAGTTGTGTTTTCACCTGTAGGATATTGCATTTTATAAATATTCATTTTATCTGTCTAGACGTGCAAAGGACAGGTCCAGACGAATTTACATGACATGTCTAAACCGGCTAAGCTTGCAGAGGACTGGCAGTTGGTGTCTGTCAGATTCACCATTCCAGTGGTCTATTGAGAACGTCTACGGAGGAGGTCGCTGCCATAGACATGGCGCCAGGAAGAGGTCATCTACATCTGATAATTCCTCTTCGCAGTCTAAGAAGACTAGGGCATCATCTTCCCAGAGGAAGAAGTCAGCTACAGCTAAGACTTCGTCGAAGTCTCCACATGGGGCAACGCAGAAAACAAGGCCTTTATAGCTGAGATCGTCCCTCTGGATGAAAAAGATGTCTACGATGAGCCGCCCATCCTCATCCCTGAGATCACATCTAAGAAGAAGACGAAGGCGTCTTCTACCGTGACCACGCAGGACAACCTTTCAACGCAGACGTTCGGCAGAGAGGTTCAACGCCCCTTCGGAAGAAGCCTCATCCGTCTCAGATGCGTCGTCATTACCACAGACAACACAGACCTTCAACCCGGGCGCCTTTATGCAGCAATTTACCCGACAGATGTTGGATCTGATGGAACAACGGTTCGCACGCGAGAGAGCTGCGACGAACCCGAGTGAAGGTCAACTGAGCTGCACACCACGTCCGTTGGGAACCAACGTCCTGCAGAGAGTACATGAAGATTCCACGTCCGCACGAATATCTGGCAGCCATACCAACGTAGAACCTGCACCGACTACGTCCGGCGAAAGGACTAGACGTTCACCAAACCCACGTAGATCATCATCGACTTCAGATACGGACAAGCGTAACGAACCTGCACGTAACAGTTCATTACCAAGAAGAGAATCAACACCCGTACGAAGGCACAGAGAGTTTTGTCACAAGACTCCAACCCTTGACAAAGCAGTTCACCTACACGTAGGTTCGCGTGAAGGCGCGCACGATCATCTCTATCTCCACGCAGGTCCCCACGAAGGAAGTCACGAACACATTCACGAACGTATGGTTCACCATGAAGGTCACCACGCAGGTCTCCATACAGATCACCACGCAGGTCACCACATAGATCGTCATACAGATCTTACAGATCTCCTCGTTCAGACGACACTAGAAGACATCTATCCTCAGAGCAGGAAGATGACGGCGGAATTATATTTTCTGACTCGGAAATCAAGTCATGGATGGCCAACGGTTTGGAACTCGTATCACCCTCCAAGGAGACCAACGAAGCACTATCGTACTTGATGTTGAATGATGATATAGACACACTTACGATGCCACCTATCGACCCTGTCTCAGACATTCCAGACAACCTCAGCACAGCCTTCAAGAAGGCAACAAAATACCAGACTCAGAGTATTCCGTCATTCAACGCAAAGAAGTTCTCTCTACACCATATAATATGGAACCCTTCATGAAGGCCCCAGAGATAAACGAGAATTATAAGATCATCAACGACACTCGGACGAAATCTTGCAAGATAGAAGATGAAAAGCTGGCACAGTTAGACACAGTAACCAGACAAACCTTCTTCGGCCTAGCCAGGTCAAGAGCTATCAACGAGACCCTCATCTCGAAGTTTAAGAATTCAACTTCAGAGGGAGACCGAATGGTTTATTCAGCTCTACTTACACAGAAAAAGGATCATCAGTTCATGTCTGAACACCTATCATCCATTTCTGCAGGCTTAACGTTATCAAGAAGGTAAGGACTGTTATCTCCCTGTACTTTGAGCGAGAAATTTACCAAGACACTCTACAGAGCCCCTTGGTCAGCACCATTCATCTTCGCAGGAGAAATTGATGAAGTCGCCAAAGAAGTCGCTAAAGATTCCAGAGAGGTGATGATGATCAAGTCTATCAATACACTGGCCAGTGTGATACGTCAGACCTCCCAACGTTATTCTGGCAAATCGAAGTTTGCAGGCATCCAGAGAGCAAGGGATAAGAAATTAGGCAACACTAAAGGGAATAAGGATTCTTTTCGTCGCCCATCGGCAGCTCCAAGAGGTAACTACGGAATAGGTCGGCCCTTTCGAGGTGCCAGAAGTTCCAGACGAAGAAAAACGGGTTCGGAACGACTGGAGTCTTCCACCCCCAGCCGTTCCAGTACAACCTTCACAAGTGGGTGGACGTCTGCAACTCTACTGGAAGAATTGGGGAATTCTTCAAGACGACTTCGTATCTCAGATTCTACGCAAAGGTTACAGGATACAGCTACAAGCAGTACCACCAGTAACAATCAACCCATTGGTTCACAACTACGCTGCAGACCAGAAGGGAAATCTACTAGAAGCCATCACATCTCTACTAGAGAAAGGCGCAATAGAAGAGATAAAACACTGCGTCACACCAGGTTTCTACTCCCCAATTTTTCTGGTACCAAAGAAAAACTCCAAAGAAACAAGTTCCGACTCATTTACAACATGAGGAAGTTCAACAAAGATTACCTGCTAACAACCGCAAAGTTCAAGATGATTCATCTTCCATAACCACGACTACCTCGCCAGCATAGATTTACAGGATGCATAATTACACATCCCGATCCATCCGGAGTCAAGGAAATATCTTCGATTCCTGTTCAACGGACGTCATTTCCAATGGAAGGTCCTGCCATTTGGAATATCGTCGGCCCCCTGGTTGTTTACTCGAGTGACAAAGCCCATCAATATATATCTACATCGTCGAGGTCTACGCAGTGCGTTCTACCTAGACGACGGGATTCAAGCTCAGCAAGATCCCAGTCAACTCAGACTGCAATTGAACTTCACCATTAGACTTCTCACTCAACTAGGATGGCTAGTAAATCTCCTCAAGTCGGAACTAGAGCCTACTCAGGACTTACAATTCCTAGGAATACGGCTTATAACAACGAAGAATCGCATTCTCTTTCCAGAGGATCGTTGGATCAAGATACAACAAATGATCTCTCAAGTTCTACTCTTTTCGTTACCACTACGAGAATGGCAGAGCCTATTAGGTCTCCTCACGTCAGCTCAAGACATGACGCACAGAGGAAGACTACAACTGCGCCCACTACAGAGATTTGTGAACACTCATTTATACAGTCTGGACCCCTTCGAAATACCAGACAGACTAAAACCATATCTACTATGGTGGACTCAGAAGTCGAATGTTTGCGGCGGAAATTACTTAATAGAGCCGGAGTGCAACGTCCACCTCTACTTAGACGCATCACTGCAAGGATGGGGAGCACACTTCGACAACGAAGTGGCTGCCGGGAAATGGTCGAAACAAGAAACGAATCTGCAGATCAACATGCTCGAGATGAAAGCAGTAGTAAATGCCCTACTACATTGGTCCAACATACTAAGAAATGCATAATTGATGATCCATACGGACAAGTCAACAGTGGCGTTCTACATAAAGAAACAAGGATCAACAAGATCTTGGAATCTCCTAGACCTCAGCTTTCAACTCTTCAACATAATAGACAATCTGAACATCTATGTGAAAGCATTTCACATTCCGGGAGCCAAGAATGTAATAGCAGATGCGCTATCTCGACCACATCAACCATCCCCAACAGAATGGATGTTACATCCACAAGCATTCAGGTGCATCATACAGACGATAGGGTCTCCACTCGTAGACCTATTCGCCACAAGATTCAACAATCAACTTGCAACATTCATCTCTCCAACTCCCGATCTGCAAGCATGGGCGACAGACGCTCTAAGCATCCCATGGGAAGGACTAAACGCGTATGCGTTCCCTCCGCCAGCGTTAATACCACAGGTATTACAGAAAATCAGGCAGACAAGCAACCTACAACTGATTTTGGTCGCGCCTTACTGGCCAGCAGGAACGTGGCTTCCCGTTCTCTTACAAGAACTCGGAAAACCATCAATACAACTTAGTTTGGTCGAACCTACTAATTCATCCTCACACCAAGCAAGTTCACAAGTATCCCAGATCATTCCACCTACACGTATGGAACGTATCACGACTTGCTTGTCGAAAAGAGGATACAGTAGCTTTCTGCAGATCTACTCGTAACTTGTATGACGATAAGTGGCAAAGCTTTGAGAAATATGCATCGAGGAAAGGTTTCACAGCAGTGAAAGCAACACATCCTCAAGTGGCGGAATATCTTTGTCATCTCAGACAAATAAAGAGATTAAAAGGTTCTACATTATCTACATACCTAGCGGCTCTCAGATCAGTTATCACCATGAAGACAGGCGTGAAACTGTCGAAAGTGCCAGAGTTACTGGCCTTGCTACGCTCTTTTAAACTGGAAGAACAACAAAGGAAATTTAAAGCGCCGGCTTAGGATCTCAACGTGGTATTACGATATCTCTCCAGTGATGCGTACGAACCACTAGAAAGAAGTTGTTACGAATTTCTTACACAGAAAAAGCTATTTCTGATCGCCTTGGCAACAGCGGCGCGCATGTCAGAAATACATGCTCTGGACTTCGAACGAATACGTTTTGACACATGTCACAACATAGTTCATCTAGGATTGAGATGGGATTTCATAACCAAGAATCAACTGCCAGGTCAACCGGACAGACAATTCCCCATCCCAGCATTATCTACAATGCTTGGACCACAGGATATTCAAGACTTATCCTTATGTCCAGTCAGAGCACTGAAATTCTATCTACAAAAGTCTAAAACCAGGACACGCATATTCAAAAGCCTTTTCATCCCCATATCGTCGGAGACACCCACAGAGATCTCACGTACTACGATATCAGTTTGGATGAGAGCAATCATACTACGAGCCTACAAGGCAGCAGGACTTGAGCCTCCACGAGCCTCCAACCCACACGAAGTTAGAGCATTGGCTTCTACACTCGCTCTACATGGAAACTGCTCAATATCCACGATCATGGAAGGGTGTTTTTGGAAATCGTAGACAGTATTTGCTAACCACTACCTCAGAGATATCGCTACCGAGGATGTCTCCGGTATCCACCAGTTTGGGCCTCTGGTTGTAGCAGTGACAGCTGACGGTCCCACAAAGGCTCTGAGATGTATCTGGCCCTTTTATCGCATGTCATGCAAAGCTCATACTCCAAGGCTAGAACAGACTAGCATGAATATTAGACCCTGTACTTGTAAGGAATTACTTGTACACGGATAGGGTCGCTGCTCCACTTATTACGAACATCAAGAGTTGGAGTTATTGAAATCCACATGTACGGTTACAGAAGAGTTTGATATATTATGGTCCCCCCAATTTACCAGATAAAGTTCGACATATGGATCAACAGCAGCAGCAGTGCCATCAGAAGTTCCCATGGGGGGTAAATAGGACGTAAATTCATCACTAAGGAATCCAGAAGTGGCTTGACCCACCACCAATTCCGTCGGATTCAACAAGCAATAAGAATGAGTCAGGATAAGGAAAAATATGTATAATTCAAAATGAATTGTGGATAATTTCTTGCATGATGAGACTAATGATAGGAAAAGTATAAGGCTTTATTTAACATGAAATTCACATATTTTCCAGCAATTTGATGGAGAAGGTGGCAGATCTTCACATAGGAGGATCCACAGCTCTTGGCCCTGCGCTAGCAATATGTGCTGGATTTGTGAGTGATGTGCCTTCGTCAGAGATTGTGCTATGTACTGATGGGGCGCCAAACTCTGGAATTGGTTCGAAAGCTGACAATATCCGTGACTCATTCTATACAAAGGTAAGCTGCAAATCATCTGTAATAATTACTGGTACTAGACCAGATTTTCCATCTCTTAGAATAAGATTTTTTAGTGTTTGTTAAGATAAAGTAAGTGGGTTTAGTTTTATGCCACTTGTAGCAATATCAAGGTGGGGGACAACACAAATGGGCTTCATACATTGTACCCATGTTGGGAATCGAACTCGGGTCTTCGACGTGACGAGTGAACGCTTTAACCACTAGGCTACCCCACCGCCCCTGTTTATGAAGATCTCATGACTACATCAAAGCAGATAAGATCATCATGTGAACTTTATTATCAGGCAATCAGCGTTCTTAGCATGCAAAATAGATTTCAGGCAAGCAGATCTGATTTCTGTGTCAGAAACTCTTAAAACTGAATATAGTGAAGGAAATCCCAATTAGAAAATGTATTGCTAAGATATTGTTGTGGAATTTTTACTCTCATTATATATATATATATTCCATAATGAGTAAAGTCTTAGATCAGTTGAGGAAGGGAAGTTCATCCTTGAGCACGATCAACATTTGTTTGTTAGCAGGTGTACTGTATTTTCAATAATGAGCAAAGTAGTGGTATTAATTCTTCATTGATTCATTTGTCATTTTTTGAATACTTTGAAAAGGAATGTAACCTTATAAATTTTATCCACACTCCTAATTCAGAATATTCATGTTCCACAATGCAGACTAAAAGTGAGACAAGCGTGAACATAAACATAAGTCAGTTTAGCTCCTGCTTGCTGTAGTTTCTCTATTATACATTTGTTTATTCTTTGTAATTCCAGATCGGCGGATATGCACGTTCAAAGAATATTGTCATCAACATCATGGCAGTGGAGGGAGAGGCTGTTGGGATGCAGTATGTTAGTCCATGTGCACTGGCTTCAGGCGGCACCATCAACGTCCTCAACCCCATGGAGATTGTCAGGCAGCTGCGAGTTATCTGGCAGAACAAGGTCGTGGCTTCATCAGTTCATGTCACTTTCCTGCTGCATCCATCGCTTGTGTTTGTTGAAGAAGGATATCCAAAGGTAAGGGGGACCTGTCATGTTCTGGAGTGTGTTTAATCATTTGAGGACACTGTAGTTCCGTGGCATGTTCCTCTGCAAGCATGTTTCTCTCTCAGTGTGTTCCTCTGCAAGTATGTCCCTTCTTTACATGTGTTCCTCTGTACATGTGTTCCTCTATATACATGTTCCTCTATACATGTGTTCTCTGTACCTTTGTTCATCCATATGTGTTCTTCTGTAATGTGTTCCTCTAATACACATATTCTCTGTACCTTTGTTCATCCATGTGTTCTTCTGTAATGTGTTCCTCTATACAAGTATTCTCTGTACCTTTGTTCATCCATATGTGTTCTTCTGTAATGTGTTCCTCTATACATGTGTTCTCTGTACCTGTGTTCATCCATATGTGTTCTTCTGTAATGGGGGCGGTGGGGTAGCCTAGTGGTTAAAGCGTTGGCTCGTCACGCTGAAGACCCGGGTTCGATTCCCCACATGGGCACAATGTGTTAAGCCCATTTCTGGTGTCCTCCGCCGTGATATTGCTGGAATATTGCTAAAAGCGGCGTAAAACTAAACTCAGTCAGTCAGTCAGTCTTCTGTAATGTGTTCCTCTTATACACGTATTCTCTGTACCTTTGTTGATCCATATGTGTTCTTCTGTAATGTGTTCTCTATACACGTATTCTCTGTACCTGTGTTCATCCATGTGTTCTTTTGTAATGTGTTCCTCTATACATGTGTTCTTCTGTACATGTCTAATCTTCTGTTTTCTTCACATGTGTTCCTCTGTAGTAGTATATGTGTTCCTCTCCTCATGTGTTCCTCTGTCCATGTGTTCTTCTGTACATGATTTTCTGTTCATGTGTTCCACTGTCCATGAGTTCCCCTATCTATATATTCCTCTGTGTACGTATATTTTCTGTGTATGTATGTTCCTGTGTACATATGTTCCTCTGTGCATACGTTGGTCTGTCCACGTGTTCTTCTGTGCATGTGTTTCTTGGTATGCTCCTTTGTACATGTGTTATCTGTACATGTGTTCCTCTGTACATATATTCCTCTGTTTATAAGTTGGTCTGTCCACGTATTCCTCTATGCATGTGTTTCTTGGTATACTCCTTTGTACAGGTGTTCTCTGTACATATATTTATGTTGGTCTGTCCACATGTTCCTCTGTGCATGTGTTCCTTGGTATACTTATCTGTACATCATGATATTCCTCTGTACATATATTCCTGTACATATATTCCTCTGTACATACGTTGGTCTGTCCGCGTGTTCCTCTGTCCACATATTCCTCTCAGTGTATGTTCCTCTGTTCCTCAGTTCCTCTCCATGTATGTGCCTCACCTTGAATTCATCTGCATGTTGCAGATGCTTGAATCAAAAATAAAATGTTGCATGTTCACACATTGTTATCCCTTCTTGTTCTGTTTCAGGACTGCAGTAGGTTGGTGAAGGAGGTGGGCAATGCCCTGAAGGACTCGGACCTCACTTTCAACTTCAAGCTCAAAGATTCGAACAATATCCCAGATGTTGAGGAACTGCCTTTCCAGGTACTTTTTAATTCAGAACGGGGACTCCAAAGCAGAAACCCTCCCTACTCTCCCACGCTGTTTTGACAAAAGACGAACACACATATTCATACGTTCAAAGACCAACTCGTTCACTCTTTCCCTAGAAAAAAAAAATACTGTATACCGTGAAATTTTCAAGGTACTAAAATTTAGAGGTTTGACACCCCCAGAGCTTTCAAGGTGATTTAAATGTCGAGTTTTGGGGACCTAAAATATATAAATATTTTAGACAATTTTAATTTCGAGGTTAGAAGAAAGTGGCCAGAAACTGAGAAACATCACTTGCTGGACCAATACGCACTGAGCTATCGGCAAAACTCCTAGTAGCCAGTGATAAATGCTGTCTGACTTATAACTACAGGTATACCAGTCCATGGCAGCAATAATAGTAATGAAAACAAATGTTTGATCCTTTGTTGTGATAAATGACTCATGAAACACTCTGTCGGCAGAGTTCAAACATGACGCCATTTTTTTCTCAGACAGTTTTGTTTTCTTAACAACTAACTAAAAGCATGTATGCATGGGTCTCTGCTGAAACTATGTTGTTGTTAGAAAGCTGAGAAGTTGACCTCAAAGAGTGACATCAAGAGTATTGACAGTTGGTTTGACTTCACATGTAAGACACTGATTGGATTACCCATTCTTTTTCAGAAGAAGTCCTCCTTGGGGTACATATAAGCATTAAAATGTCCATTTTAAATCCTACGACAGTTGTAACTACATTTTTAATAAAATATTTACAAAACAAAAAACTCGTTTTGTCTTGTGAGACCACCCCTACAGGGCCCCACCGGACCAACACAGCCAAGAGCAGGTAACTCTCGCCGTCTACCTCGTACCTCACTTTTCATGCTGTCGTTCTGTTGAATAGACGTGCGTGGTGTTCGTTTCGAGTTTGCTCTCCTACCGATACGATGAGTGTAAAAGAGTCTCAATCTGTATGTATGGTTCCTTTCTCTACGCACGGGCGTTAGATGGACGTCATATGTGGATATTTTCATTCATCTTTTGTTGTAACTTTGCCGTGGGTTCTCTGTTTTCCAGCCATGTGGCAGGCAAAATGGCGGACCGCGATCGTGGTTTCCTTGCTATATGTTCTTGGTAGCTTGTAGTAGGGAGTTCATATATTATGTTTGCATATTATATGGTAGGCTTGCCTAAATTCTCTTTCTTTCAGCGAATTTGTGGTAAGTCGTTGTTGAGTAATTTTGATAGTGTTCGCTTCAGATCACCAACTTTACTCTATCACTAGTACACGCAGGGGTGGCTAGCCTTTTTCTGCTTTGCATTGTATGCTTAGTATTTAAATGGCTGTAGCTTGTAGCATTTATATATCGCCCGCGGCGGATTATTCTTGCTATTACTTGTGTTTATGTGTTTGCTGCTTCACAGTTCCTGCTAGTAACACTGGCGTGGTTCTGTTTGTTGCAGTTTAAGCCCTGTGCGTTGTGCCATGCACACTACCGCCACAGGATGGTTATAAAGTGTGCCTCCGGTGTTTAGCCGAGGGCCACTCCACGGCGATCAAGGATCCTCATAATAAACGCTTTTTGCGTCAATATTCCTGTTACATTATGTTGTATTATGATACATATTTCATACGCTTACACACAACGCGGGCTCATAGGCCGAGGTTGTGTTTTTGTCTGGGTTTCTGCGCCTCGCGGCGATTCTTTCCGACACGCAGATTTTATGTTTTTCACTAATCTGCTTCAGGCGGGGGATAATATTTGATAAAAGGTTTCTAAGGAAATCCCTTTATCGTTTCCCCCGCAAACAATGTTGCTGACTTAAATATGACTCAATTTGCTTCACTATTGCAGCAACATATTCTTCAACATAATGTCAATTCGATGATTGATAGCGCGATGTCCGGGCTCCGTAAGGAGCTCGGCTCGCAAAGTGTTGATCTCGAAGGTAAGTTCACCAGGTGTCGTCTGTGGTGAAATTCCCGCCCCGATTGACACGGTGCTGTCTGGGTTCCGCAAGGAGCTCAGCATGCCTGTCGTCGGGGGTGGATCGGACGCATCTGGGGGGGTTGGCTCGGGGACACCTCGGCGCCACGTGGTCAGTCGGGGTTGCCCGGGAAACCTGTATATCGGCAGGTTCCTCTCGGCGCCCCGGTCTGGGTTCCACTGAGCTGCCGATCACCTCGGCGCTCCTAGGTCTACCTGTGTCCACCAGGGGCAACCTGCATTGCCAGGCTACTCCCTTGTGTCTCGGGACTGCAGATCGGACTAGCACCGACCTGGGCTTCGGCCCCGGTACGGAGCAGATCCCCGGCGCTGTTAGCTCAGGTCTCGGCCTGATGTCTATCGATGCCCTGGCCAAGCGGCCGTTGAGTGTGACGAGCTGCCGATCACCTCGACGCGCCGAGGTCTACCCGTGCACTTACACCAGGGGAGCCCTGCATTGTCAGGCCACTCCCATGTGTTGGGGATCGGGGTTCGAACTCGAACCGCCGACCCGAGCACTGACGTACATACATGTGTATGTATGGGTATTTATATAGCGCTATAGGCTATGTTTGACTATACGCTCAGTGCGCTTTTGGAGAGTACTTGGGGAAACCTGATTTATCAGGCTACTCCTACGTGTCTCGGGATCGGGGTTCGGTCTAGAACAGCTGAGCTTCGGCTCTGCGGATTCTCTGAACCCCGTGGGTAGCGCCGATCCAGGCTTCGGCACTGGTAGGGCGCAGATTCCCGACTCCGGTAGTTCAGGTCTCGGCCTGATGTCTATCGACGTATTGACCTAGATGCCATCGAGTGTGCCGGGTGTGACTGTCACCTCGCCGCTCCGAGGTCTGTCTGAGTGCTTGTGAAACCTTGATTGTCAGGCTTCTCACATGTGCCTCGGAATCGGGGTTCAGGCTCGTACAGTGGACAAGTCGATTTGAGCTTCGGCTCATTTCGCTACTTTGAACTTACTACTAAGTAGGTTCGTCCCTGAGGGCAAGTGCGAGATAGAATCGCGGCTGTGTTGCCTCAGGTGTTGTCCATGTCGACTACCCGAACCGTTGGAGTTCGCCTCCCGGAGGGAAGACTGCTTCCAGCACGGCATCCGGGACAAGGCCTCACACTCTCCCTTAAGTCTGCCGTTCTTTCCCCCTTCACAGCTCAACGCTGTATGCTCCACTGGCGCATCTCAGCAGCTGCTGAGGGAGCTGGTGGAAAGGGGAGAGAGCCCGGGTGGAATTTTTTCGTCGGCGACTCTGGGCTGCATCTGACGGGGCAACTCTCATCTGGCTAGGGACTGCATTGTAGCTGTGCCAGTCAAATGATGAGGGCGGTTATGGGCATATACCGGGACAGTTTCGAGGAATACGGAAGTCTGTTGAGCTTCGCTTACTTCCTCAGGTGCCCAGGCATCGGCAAACGTTAAGTTGCCGACTGCTGGGAATTACTATATTCTGCCGCGAACACCGGGCGGAGCGACACACTCCTGTGTCGGCTTCCCGAGACGGCGACAATACCTCGCGCCCAGATCCAGTCTTTGCTGGGCTAGGCAACCAGTGTGGTGGTTTCCAATGGTCAGGAATATGTGGGTTTGACTCCACTTATTTCATAGTTGCCATTACGAACGGAATGTTCAGACCCATTCTCATCTGAGAGTGAACAAGTTTATAGAGGTACTGTCCTTCAAGATGGAGACACCGCTACCGGTGATCTCATCTGCCGAGACAGGGATTGGCGACGCCAATCGACCTCGAGGTCGCGTACCTCCTTGTTCCATTGCACCCTGATTTCAAGATTTACCTTCGGTTTCTTGTTTGACGGACGTGCTACCAGTTTCGTGGTGCTCTCCTTAGGCTACATTACGGTGCCAAGGGTGTTCACCAAATTGAGGTTTATTACAGCTCAGATAGCCAGATCGCAGTGCCGGTGTTGTCACCCGTACATAGGCGACTGACTCATCGTGGTTTCAGATAACTGTTGAGTCTGGGGACCTCACGATCAGTTACGAAACTGGGCGGAATTGTCAACCTCACGCAGTCAGATGGACAGACGTCAGGCGTCTCTCCGAGGGTCCCCACCCCTGGAGACACCGTCGCTCTCAGTCCAGCCAGATACATCCCTACCGGGTTAGGGCGATGTTCTGGGTGACCTGCAGCCTCTTGAGACGAAGTCACAACCTGCACATCAATGTGCTGGAATTGACAGCAGTCAGGTTGGTGTTCGATCCCGCGACGCCGGATTCGAATTACCTCTTCGGCCAGACATTCTCACTCTGCACGGGCGCCACACCCGAATCCTCGGATTCACTGGGTGGCTTGGCCTCTGTCGGGTATAACACACAGAATTCCTGCAACCGTTGCAGACACAATTCTGCCTGGGATTAGACACCCGCTCAGTGTGTTGATAGGTGGGGCTGGCTGGTGGTGTGCAGATAGGGGATTTCATAATCCCTATTCTGCGGACTTAGTTCGGATATTGGAGTTACTATAACCTCGCTTTTGGTTGAGAGCCTTATGACCTCCACCATTGCCGGGTACTCCATGGCTATTTCCACGTTTCACACCTCGTCGATGGTGCTCTGCCTAGGCAGCATCCTCTCATACATCGCGTCAGTAGCTGGCATGAACAGGGTTCGACCGCCTTCGTCGGCGACCCAGCCCACCTTAAAATTGCCACTTATTCACAATTGGCTGTCTGGCCCTAATTTTTCAAGTATATCGTCTCTCTCACTTCACTTGTTGACGTGGAAGACGACTTTACTTGTTGTGGTGAACTCTGGTAGAAGGGTCGGGTACATCCATGCGATTCCCACTGACCCGACACTGACAGTATTTTATACTGATCATGTCCGTATTCGACTCCGGGATACCTACCACTCTCAGTGCGATATTGCTTTCCACGCTTCGAGCCGCATGTCACGTGACCAGGTTAGTGTAATGGTGAGCCAACATATGTTCGGCTACGCTTTTCGCTATTCAGGGGATTTTTGTACGCTTACAGTTTTTCCCTCTTCCCGAGCCTTCGGTATTTGGGAGTCTGTGTTGATCAGCTTTGTGGGATGGTGGCCTACACTTACCCTCCTCACGCCGAGAGTGTTTGGTGGGGGTGTTTTTCACTCGTACAATGCATGGCGTTTGTACTCGTTCGATTTCCTCAGAAAGTTTTAGCGAGGCTAATAATTTCTCTGGGTTTTATCGAGGTCCCGGCAAGCCCTCTTCCAAACAGGGGCTGCATTCGAGCATTAGTTGGCAGTACTTATTAGCTCGACTCCTGGGTTATTGTCTTTGTAGCGTTTAAATTTTTTACGCTTTCCCTACCCTTATACCTCTCGCCACGATTGTCTGGCTGGGGCTATATTAGGGTTGGGAGTTGTTTCGGCATGTCCCCATACATTCCTTCCATTGTAATGGTTGGGGGTTTTATGTCATTGATATTGAGCCAATTGACATATAAGCTTGGGCTCTCTAGTTCCCGCCCGTCTGATTGACATCAGCGGTCAGGTGGCTCGGTGTTTTCTATTTCCGTATCGGTTGTAGATTTCACTCCACCACGGGTTTAGTTGTTGCCAGACAGAATGCCACTCCCGTCTCAAATATCTTTGGGAGTCTGTCATATGCTTATATGTACCCCAAGGAGGACTTCTTCTGAAAAAGAATTATACAAACCTGTAGAGGTTATGAATTCTTTGAAGAAAGTCCTCCTTGGGGTAAGGCCACCCGCCTCCCCTCATTCTGTCTGACACGTTCAGCATGAAAAGTGAGGTACGAGGTAGACGGCGAGAGTTACCTGCTCTTGGCTGTGTTGGTCCGGTGGGGCCCTGTAGGGGTGGTCTCACAAGACAAAACGAGTTTTTTGTTTTGTAAATATTTTATTAAAAATATAGTTACAACTGTCGTAGGATTTAAAATGGACATTTTAATGCTTATATGTACCCCAAGGAGGACTTTCTTCAAAGAATTCATAACCTCTACAGGTTTGTATAAAATTTTTTAAATGTTATTCTGGACCAACAATTACAATTAATAGTCTCGACACCGCATTTCTGTTGTTTGTTTATTCAGGCCATTCAGGGTCATTGAACGATACGATTAGGTGTAGACAGGCATTACAGAGTTAATGCGCATGTCAGGAAGTCATTGGTTGCCAGCAGTTGAAATGCTTATCGATAGGAAATCTTACCCAAAGGTTTGAAGTTTGGAAAATTCATGGATATAATATTTTCGAGGTTGCATTTCGGAACCTCGAAAACCTCGAAAATTTCCCTGTATGTGGTATTCCCCAAAATTACAGTTCAAAGTCATCACTCTCAAGTTACAGCTCTCGCATCATTACACCCTAATAACCCCTCCCTTTATCACACCCATTAATACTAAAAAGCAAAACGAATCCCCAAGTTCAACAATTTTTTCTCAGGTTTTCATCCTAAGTGTTGTAGTACTGAGTTCATACATGTTCAGTGCTATTATGTCCACCCGTCAAGATCAGGGTTAGAATTGGTCTTCAGTAACCCATGCTTGCTATAAGATGCGACTAACGTGATTGGGTGGTCAGGCTCGCTGACTTGGTTGACACATGTAATCATATCCCAATTGCGTGCCTCGATGCTCATTCTGTTAATCATTGGATTGTCTGGTTCAGACTCGATTATTTACAGACAGCCGCCATATAGCTGGAATATTGCTGAGTGCGGCGTCAAACAACAAACCAACAACCACGATGTCCAAGGATCTTAAAAAGCACACTGTCACACATTTGTTACAATATTTTGGCCTATATTATACATAATGGGACATATGCACTCACTTTAGCTTCCTATTGATGCAATAATAGGCTTATTATCCCTTACGACTTGCCTGAAATTGATAATTGAAACTTCGAGGCGAACAGCTTCCAAACAGAGAACTGCTTAAGGGGTCTTCTTTGACAAGGACCTGTTGACCTTCACCCTCAAAGTAGAACACTGCAGATCCTACTATTATCTTGGACCTAATGAACTGAAATTAATAACTCTTTTCTCTGGTTTAGGTTCAGATCACCTACACCCGCAAGAACGGTATGAAGTGTCTCCGTGTCATGTGCAAGAGCCACAAGTTCACCAAGGACAGGAAGGTGATGGAAGAGGTAAGGAAATCCTTTCATGAAGAACATGCGTAATCTATGGAGGAACTAGCATATAATATCAGAACAAGAGAAGTAGTTGGTTAGTTTAGTTTCTCAGTGAAGTTGCCCCTCCAAAACTATTTGAGGTGGAGAACTGATAAATGTCTAAAATGAGTTAAAATTGGCATCCCAAGTTATTTTATTACAGAGTTATGTCCCTTCCTTAGTGTAAAATGTGTAAAAAAGGGATAAGTTTTCTTAATTACTATTTGAACTTGAGAACTTAACACACTGATGTCACTCGCTTGTTCGCTCCGCCCAACCCAAACCAACCCCCCCATCCCCCAACCCAACCCATGACATGGCTTTAATATTGTCTGTGTTTGAATACACCTTCCTGTTGTCATACCTGGTCTCATGCTTCCAGTCACCTGGTGCTTATCAAGAGTCATAATTCACAACGTGTTTACAAAGTATTTTGCTATAAGAGGATGATCACATCTTTCATGTTTGTGTTGCCAGAACATCAACGTGGCAGTTGTTGGACTAGCCACGATGCATAAGGCAGCTGAGATGACAAAGAACAGAGCTCCACTAAAAGCCAGGGCACAGATGTAAGTAGCTGAGTGAGTGAGTGAGTTTAGTTTTACGCCACACTCAGCAATATTCCAGCTATATGGCGGCGGTCTGTAAATAATCAACTCTGAACCAGATAATCCAGTGATCAACAGCATGAACATTGATCTACACAACTGGGATATGATGCCATGTGTCAACCAAGTCAGTGAACCTGACCACCTGATCCCGTTAGTTGCTTCTTACAACAAGCATGGGTTACTGAAGACCAATTCTAACCCAGTCTAAGTAGTCACAAAATAGACCAACGTAGATCTTTTGTGTGGTTTCCTATTAAGTTACTCATTGTGTTTTGATGGTTTCAGTAAGATGTGTGTAGTCACATACAAGAGATTCCGTCTTTCCATTTCTCTCTTCTCTCGCCCCACCTCCCTAATTATCCCCCCGCAACGCGTTTTACGGGAGGTATTAAAATGGACTCCGTCCGTGCGTCCGTCCGTCCGTCCGTCCGTCCGTCCGTGCACATTTGTCTTTTCCGGAGCAGACTCTAAAACTGTTCTCTATTTCTTCACCAAACTTGGCGGATTGATAGATCTGGTGGTGTACTGGTGCCTTTTGGTAGTTTTGGAATTCTGAATAAAATATTTTTGGCGTTTCCATGGCAACAAGTTCGACTTAGACTGAAATTAGTAGTAGTACTCTTTTCCGGGAGCAGAACTCTAAAACCGTTCACTATTTCTTCACCAAACTTGGCACATAGATAGATCAGGTGGTGTACTGGTGCCTTTTGGTAGATTTGGAATTCTGAATAAAAACATTTTTGGCGTTTCCATGGCAACAAGTTCGACTTAGACTGAAATAAGTGGTAGTACACTTTTCCGGAGCTGAACTCTAAAACCTTTCACTATTTCTTCACCAAACTTGGCACATAGACTGGTCTGGTGGTGTACTGGTTCCTTTTTGGTAATTCTGGAATTCTGAATAAAATATTTTTGGCATTTCCATGGCAACAAGTTGGACTAAAACAGAAATTAGTGGTAGTGCACTTTTCCGGAGCAGAACTCTAAAACCGTTCAATGTTTCTTCACCAAACCTGGCACATACATAGATCTAGTGGTGTACTGGTAACTTTTGGTAGTTTTGGATTTCTGAATAAAGTATTTTTGGCATTTCCATGGCAACAAGTTTGACATAGACTGAAATTGGTGATAGTGCTCCTTTATGGAGCAGAACTTTAAAAACCTTTCAATACTCTTCTTCCACTTTTCTATATTCACACCTAAATATTTGACATAATCATAACTCGTAGACATAATCATGAAGAGTATTTTGCCATTGCGGGGGATATTGATGACTTTGTCTTCTTGTTCCACACTCTTATGGAACCAAGTTATTTTTTCACCACCCCCTCCACAATGTACAGGGTCTATATTTTTATGGAGGGACAACTTCTTTGTTGCAATGGATGCGACGTAACTACGGTGTAGATGCCAGATTCAGACACGTGCATACTACTTGTTTGATTACGGTGTTCGCATCTACGTGAAACATCTACACCTGATTTGTGACCTGAGCTCTATGCACAGGACCACACGCCGCCACATAGAATATGTGGTAAGACTACATTTCTGCAGTTGAATTGACAGTCCCTCATCTCCTTTATATCATATTTAACAACATTACATAAGAACTGTATTTTCTGGTAGATATATTGATATTAGAGGCGAGATGGTACTGTGAGCTGAATGCTGTAATGTTTGTGAAATACTATTCAAAGCAGGAATCAATCCAACTCACTGGCTCACTGTTCTATAAATTTAATCCAGATTGGCAACCAAGAATATGCTGAAAAGAGGTGCAAAGACTGTAGAGCAACGTGAAGAGCGATATGCATTCCTGAACGAATGCGAAGAATTTGAAGATGACATTTCCTGCAATTTGCGTCAGTGGGTAAGTAATCAAGTTAAATGAATGATAATTTGGGGACAAGATTCTATTAATGCCTGGTCATCCAACTGGGCAGATATGGGGAAGGTGAAGGTCACTAGACTGAAACAGGGTTGTTTTTTATAAAAAGGTTGGTATTTAGGCTGGTTGGTTTGTTGTTTAACACCACACTCAGCAATATCCAGCTATATGGTGGCGGTCTGTAAATACTCGAGACAATCCAGTGATCAACTGCATGAGCATGGATCTATGCAATTGGGATACAATGACGTGTGAACCAAGTCAGTGAATCTGACCTACGGATCCGTTAGTCGCCTTTCATGACAAGCATGGGTACTGAAGACCAATTCTAACGCAGATCTTGTATTTAGGATAATTGCGAAATGGGATTGAAATACTTGAACTGATCATGTTTTTGTTACTTCACTGACTTTTCCAATGATTGGAGGCTTCAGTTAATCAAAGAACTACTGCACTGAAGTGCTAAAATGGTGGAATATTTTCTCCTATGAAGAAATATTCAATATAGAGTCACTTTATTCTAATCCCTTTGTTTGGATTTATTCAACTGGTATCACTTGTTTCTGTATGAATAAAAATTACAATGACGCCATAAGAAACAACTAGTAACATGAACAAAAAGGACACCAAGTTTATAACACAATATTTTAGATAGCCAATCTTCAAAAATATTGAATCGGAGAAATTGAAAAACATTGAAAATTTATTTTATGTTATGTGAGTATACCCAGTATAGTTTGGTTTTAATATCCTGCTGCTTTAATAATTCGCTGCTTTAGGACACATAGGACACTTTTGTTTGTGGCATGACACAACTCACTCACTCAGTCACTCATACCCGTGAGGATCTGGGTTAGAATATTGATCTTCAGTAACCGTGCTTGTCATAAGAGGTGACTAACGGGATCGGGTGGTTGGGCTTGCTGACTTGGTTGACACATGTCATAGGTTCCCAGTTGCGCAGGTTGATGCTCATGCTGTTGATCACTGGATTGTCTGGTCCAGACTCGATTATTTACATACCGCCGCCATATAGCTGGAATATTGCTGAGTGCGGCGTAAAACTAAACTCACTCAGTCAGTGCAATCAAAGATATGGAAACTCATTACATATTATATTTTTCCAGGAATTAGGTGAAGCAACAGATAGGTCCCACAGAATTGCTCACCAGTCACACCGGGCCAAATTGCACCAGCTCCACGGAGCAACCTCAAAAGTGGCAGCTGTCCAGAAGCTCCAAGTCAGCAATATGGACGCGTATGAGGAGTATCGGAAGTATAAGTGTTAAAGTTCATCACATGCAGTCGGATGTCTGCATGTTTAGAGAAACAAACAAAAATGTAATCACTAAAAAGACTTGTATTTGTCAAAGCCAACTCCACGGAAAAGGGGCGGTGGGGTAGCCTAGCGGTTAAAGCGTTGGCTCGTCACACCAAAGACCCGGGTTCGAATCCCCACATGGATACAATGTGTGAAGCCCATATCTGGTGTCCCCTGCCGTGATATTGCTGGAATATTGCTAAAAGCGGCATAAAACCACACTCACTCACTCTCTTCATGGAAAAGATGCTTCTAGAGTTGGCCCAAATGTTGTCTGTCAACTGTTCAGATGTTGTTATGTGATGCAATGTATGTTAAGGATATAAAGTGAAATCTGTATAAAGCGGCACCCCACGGGACCGAAATAAAATGCCGGTTTAGACATTGACAATAATTTTCCAACATGGCTGCCATGGGTATTAAAATGGACTCCGTCCGTGCGTCCGTCCGTGCACATTTGTCTTTTCCGGAGCAGAACTCTAAAACCGTTCACTATTTCTTCACCAAACTTGGCACATAAATAGATCTGGTGGTGTACTGGTGCCTTTTGGTAGTTTTGGATTTCTGAATAAAATATTGTTGGTGTTTTCATGGCAACAAGTTTGACATAGACTGAAATTGGTGATAATGCTATTATCTGGAGCAGAACTTTAAAAATGTTTCAATACTCTCCTTCCACTTTTCTATATACACACCTAAATATTTGACATAATCATAACTCGTAGACATAATCATGAAGAGTATTTTGCCATTGCGGGAGATAGTGATGACTTTGTCTTCTTGTTATCTCTATAGTGCCTTTGATCTTTTGTAATTGTGCAACAATGTATTGGATTAAGGAACCTTGATTGGACTGCTCATACCCATGCCAGTTTAGAGCATTTGATTCACCTCCTAATCACTACTTCCTGATTATCTAGCATGCCAAGAGGATTAATTAGTGTATTGGATTATTTGATTTTGATTGGACTGCTCTTACCCATGCTGGTTTAGACATTGTTAATTACAGTTAAAATTGCTTGTTGGGACCGGAAAGTCATGCTAGAATACGAAATAGACAGGTGCCGGATTAGACAACATTTTAATGATCACAATATCGTTGTAAAATGGTGGGACCAAAATTTTATGCCAGTTTTGCCAGTGTGCCGAATTAGACAGGTGCCGGTGTTGGCAAGTTTCACTATATCTGTCCTTGTTCAGTCTACAATATTCACTCCTTGTAAGCCAACACACAAGCCTCGTGCATCGCAGTTACGTGATGCAATGTATGTTAAGGATATATCTGTCCATGTTCAGTCTACAATATTCACTCACTATAAGCTAAAAGACATGCCATGATTTGACATAAATGCGCCTACAGCCATTGATACCAAGACCAATGTATCATAATGTATTCGGACACCCGAATGATGATGTATTTATGTCTTTTAAGTTAGTCTAGTTCAGAGAAGGTATTGTTATGAAGGTTAAAACTGTTGTAAATAATATTGTTTTTTGTGAGATGCGTGTCTACAAATTATTCATTACTGTTTACTTGTTGTTTTTTAAAATTCTGTTTTCACTATTTAAGGAAAGTTTTTCATGCCCAATGCTTACCCCCAAAGGGAATTCATGTATTCATATCTATTCGATGGGGATATCGAATGTGATACTTGTTTTTCTACAGTGAATTTATTAGAAATTTTATATGATTATGTACAAGTAGTTTTGTCACTTTTGTTCATTAAATCATTTTGCTCATGTTTATGTCATTGTATGGTGTAAATTTTTGCATTTATTGCAAATTTTTATATTGTTGCTCAGTACTGACCCAATGCTGTGGGCATATCGTAAAGCCCCTGTTTTATGTGTAATATAAGACAATTTAAATAAAAATGATTTTTTCAAACATTGTGTCATCACTTATCATGTATGACTCATATATACTGAGAGAAACATATAAAGGATCACGGGAAAATTCAAGCGTTCCTTTAATATTTGTCTGTTTTCATCACCCGCTTTGAATAGCGCTGTGGTGATGAAAACTGGAAAATAATACAGGAATGCTTGAATTTTCCTGTGATCCTTTAATTTTTAAACTTATCGTATCTCACGATTTGCGCTTCTTTCTCTTGCTTTGACGCTGAGTGGAACGAATGAGAACTTTTCCCGTAGGCCTCTCTTGTCCATACGCCCGTGTTCCCAAGTCTGCTTTCTTTATAGGACAGGTCCCTTACTAAGTCCCTGGCTAAGCGTGCAGCACGTTCCCCTGTCTACCCACGTGACTTCCTCAGAGTGAGCATTCTCTTCTTGGAGCCAATGACAGTTATACGTAACCATCGTAATCTGAGTAGAGGGGTGCTCATCCATCGCGTGAGATAGGATAAATATATAATTTATATACAATTTATATTAAAATTTCCAAATTTTTAAACTTATCCTATCTCACGATTTGCACTTATCCCACGGTTGGACGGCGGGTCACAGATTACCCTAAGTCAAAAGGCACTGAGAGTATATACTGTATAGGCTAATGACAACCGTAGATAGCGCTGAACAAGGGAGGCTGCTTCTGACTAGCATAGTACTTATACTAATGATGGGTTCTCCTGAACCCCTTGGCGTACTAGGCATCATCGCTCCTAAGGAGTGGGTGCTCCTGAGAAATGTGGTGTTCGGCCACAGGATCCGACTAAAATATAAGTACCTATACTAATGATGGGTTCTCCTGAACCCCTTCGCGTACTAGGTATCATCGCCCCAAGGAGAGGGTGCTCCTGATAAATGTGGTGTTCGGCCACAGGATCCGACTAGCATATATAGTACTTATACTAATGATGGGTTCTCCTGAACCCCTTCGCGTACTAGGTATCATCGCTCCCAAGGAGTGGGTGCTCCTGAGCGATGTGGTGTTCGTCCGCAACCCTTGCATGCGCAGAGCATGCGATAAATATCCACTGGCATGTTTCCGGTTTGGTCGTATGTTTATCGATAGTGTAAACACTCCAAAGAAAACAGAGGCCGGGATTTGTTAAATAAATAGCTTCATTTATGTTAACAAGCTCTTGTATAAAGACATCTCACCACCACCGTCCTTCCCGCACATCCCCTTCTCACAACTAAACAAACACATCTCTGATGGAATTGCAACCAAAATAGGACATGAGTTATTGAAAAGCAGAGGCAAATGGAAGTATACTCAGCTATGAACAGTTGTCACAACGTAAATAAGTTTCATAACAGCTTTTATTTAGAGTGCATTTATACTATCGATAACATACAACCAAACCGGAAAGATGGCAGTGGATATTTTTCACACGCACTGGGCATGCGCACAGTGAGTTGAAAGGAATTGTGAAACCAACGAATTCTTCTTGTCGCACCACTGTGTGGACGCATTGTGGGAGTTCTCAGTTTTCCTTACAAGTTAACATGAGAAATTTATCATGGGTAGTTGACCCTAAGTAGCATAATTTTGCGCATGCTGTAACAATATTTTCTTCCTCGGATCCCCACTCGTCATGTGTGGGTTGTATTGACCTGTGTTCCTGGAGCAAACGTTGTCCGATATGTGCCCCCTTATCAAGGACGTTTTTAGAGCATATAGACATGCTTGCTCCCGTTGGCTGGCAGACAGAGCTCGTTACACTTCAACAGTTGATCACCTTACAAAGCCCCTGCT